GTCCATAGAACATATGTAAACTTCATCTCCCTTTCCTTCGATCTTATATCCTATAGGCTACTTACGGATACTTCTTCTAAAGTAAATAATTTTTATTATTTGGTGACTAAATTAGGCAAACCTGTGGGCTGACACTTCTCTCTTTTGTCCTCAATCCATCTTACATATGTGACTTCAAAACCCTTCAAGCATTAGTGAGGTATAAGATACGACACCATAAACAACGATGACTTGCAAATAGTGGATCAAATTTAGATCATTTTGTAAATTTATAACAAGAATTCTTTTATATGGACATGAATAGCTCTTTCTATTTGCTTTAACTTAATTCAAAGCTAATCAAGAGATCATCTCTAATAAAACACAAGTGTTTAATCCTATATATATTACAAATTAAATTGTGACACTGATTTCTTATCATAGAACCCAATGTGGCAAGAAAAAAGAAAAGGAAAAAATAATAATAAATAAAATTTAGGGTCAATGCATTGAAGGTTACAATGTCACACCAAACAACCATCTCATGTTTCCACCTTTTTATTATTAGTAGTATTAGCATGTAATGACCCTTAATGTGCTCAAACAGATAAGAAGGACAAAAGCAACAATCATAAAAATATTATTAAAATGAGCTAGGTAAATAATTGAACCATATTATAATGTCAAGACGAGGGACTTTGCACAAGGCACATACAGCCAACGGCTTATCTCTGTCTTCCTGTCTATTAATTATGTCTTTGGAAGAACCAATGTTTCTATTATATTAATACCCTTCTTGGACAAAGAGTCTCTCTTTTTGTATCAATTTTGTTATAATGCACATAGGCACGGACAGAAAATTCTCCGTTCTGCCTAAATAATTTACAAGCTAGTATCTTCCAGGGACTGAATTTTGACTGTTTCTTTGGCCTTAACACGCGTCTGGGGTGACAAAAGTGTCTGCAATTTGATCAAATCAATGTACAAAAGAAGAGGCCATACTCCAAACAGTGGCAGCTTCGACTTGAACAAACTGCACAGTATATATGTCAAATAGTGTCACAGTTGCAACACTAATTTGTGAAAGGTGCACATGCGACACATTGGATGTTTTAGAATTTCCAATAAAAAGGAAAAGAAACGAAAAAGAAAACTGATCTAAAGCTTTTCATTTCAGAGTTCATAAAAGATATATATATATATCATTACCACTATAATATCCTTTGTACGAATTAACCAAATCAAAATAAATGAGTGGTTTTTTTATCCTAAAAAATTGGTGTAGGTTGCTAACATACTCCCACTAAAAAATAGGTGAAGTACATTAACATTCCCTTATATATATATATATATATATATAATATATATAATTAATACAATCATTAGAATTTAAGTAGAATTTACTTCTTTCAAACTATTATTTAATTGCGAATTGTTATGGGGTAAAATTATTTAAGTACTTTAATAATAATTAATTTAGAAGTTATATTTAATTAGAGTAATTTATAATTAAACTTAATTAATATTATCCAAAAAAAATTTACAACAACTAGTATATTAAATTAAATTAAGCTATATATACATGATTAAAATATATAAATGAAGCTCACTATTAAGGTGGATCGTCTCACTCCTTGATCGATGTGTGTTTTTTAAATTACTAGTATTTTAGCAAACAAATTAAATGTTTGTTATAATATATAATTAAAATTTATAATAAATTATATATAAATAAATAATTTATATTATAATACATGATTATTTTTAATTATTGATAATTTATTTAAAATTTCAAATTAATTCATAAATAAATATAATATACAAAAAATTGAATTAAATAAAAAAAAAATTAAGAAAACATTTTTAAAAAATTTAATCAAAAATAATCTTTAAAAATATTCTCACACAATATAATTATTTACGTTTAATATATATAAATTATTATCGGTAAATTTTATTACGCTGAATTATATAAGGATACTCCCACTTATCATATATGTAAAGAAATACAATCAAGTCATTAAAACTAAAACAGATAGCAGAAAAATTGCTGTATTAAGTAAGAGGCAGCTGGTACCCCAATTTGAGATGAGTATATGTAGAAAATAATTCCTGGAAACGCACGTGTTGAATATGTTCATAATTATATATATCTGATATGCTACCTGCGTTTTGCTTTCTTGAGGAATTTTACAATATTTTTAAAGAAGTTTAGAAAATCGAAGGGTTACAATCATTTCATGGCTAAACAATAATACTAATGTCTTAAAAAAAGTTTACACTTATACAGTATATATTATATAATTTATTAATGAGGATTACTTGTGATAGGAAACGAAATAAGCTGAACCAAATCTTTATAGTTAGCTAGGGAGTTTATTAATCCAACTCAAAGGTTTTCTAAAATCAAAAGTTAATCAAGTTAAAAAAAAGTAAATATTATGTCACAATATACCAAGATCTAATTATCTTCATCAAATCCAATAAGCGGATGAGATCACAAGAGTCATTCAATAGAATACACCCAATTTAATCTAACTCAAATGTTGGTAAAAACTAAAAAAAAACTAAATGCGTTTATAAATTAAATGGTTAGAATAAGGTCGTAAGGAATTGCCATAATCTAAAATCAAGCATAATATTATGTTAGTTGATCAACTCATTTCTTCTTGCCTAATATCCATTTAATTTTTGGTTGTTATATCGAACCCGTCTAAAAGTTATTTAGTTTCTGCATCTAGTTGGAAAGAAATAAGAATCCATAGATTTGAGAGTCATTTGCTGAATTTAAACGATGAAATTTTATGTCATACAAACAAAGCACAAATGCACAATATTCATTTTACAATGTCATGTTATGGATAGGAATTATTTGCTTCACCCGTTATGCTTGCTGGTTTATTTTATTTAGTGCAGGAGAGTTATGTTTTTTTTTTTTGGAGGATTTATAATTATTCTTCCTTTTTAATAGATCTTGTGGTCGGATATCTCTTGTATCTTTAATATTCTTTCTTAATATATATTTTCTTTGTTTTATTTTACTCGACAGCTTTTAAGTAAAATTTTGTTTTAATTTACTTATTTTTTTAAAATTTTAAGATAATGTTAATTGTTGTGTTTTTAATTATATCTTTACGTCTCACTTAATTTTTAATTAATTTATATATAACAACTAGTATGTAATTATTATAAAACAAAGATAAAGAAAGTTAAAATAGAAAATATTAAAATTATTATATAAAAAATAGAAAAATCTATTATCCGAAGGTTCCACCTATGTGGACGCTAGTGATATTATAAGATAATTGTACATACAACAAAATAGATTTTTAGTGATATTTAATATATTTTTAGTGGTAATAAAAATTAATATAAAATCTTTTAGCGTCATTTCTACAATAGCCATTGTATGCAGTGTCATTAAAACATTTAGCGACAATTATTCTGAATGCTGGTAAAAATCTTTATAATGGTCGGAAAAATAGTATAACTTTTTGTGATATTTTTTACTTTCTACTTGATATGAGACTTGTAAGATGAGGATTGTCTTTTACTTATATATTTTTTAATTGTCTTATCTCCTAATTAATTATTTTATCAATAGTTGATGTGAGATTTGAATTTTTTCCAATACATCCCTCAAGTTTAGGGACTATTGAGTTTGATAATAATGAGTAATATGATACCAATTTAGAATAGTAAGTTATAGGTCTAACTTAACCATACAAAACAAACTTGTAAGGTGGAAGTTATCATCCATTTATATACTATTTAATTATCTTATTTTTGATCGATGTGGAACTTAAATTTTTCTAAATAAATAATTGTTACTAATAGTAAATTTTAGTGTGATATAAATACATTTTTAGTGACCATTATATATTAGTCATTAATACTTTTATTAAATAATAAAATAAAAGCAATTAATTTATTACTACTAAATAATTGTCAGTAATAATTAATTTTGTTGTAGTGATAATCTTAGCTAAAAAGTCGTTAAATTTATCAAAAAAAATTACAATATAAATATAACAAATAATTAATTCGATAATAGAAAAATAAATTGATTATTGACATTTTACTTTGGTATAGATCATAAGGAAAATTAATTTTATACAAATAACTCTTAGTTTTTTACTGACATGAAAGAACTGAAAGTGTGTAATGAAATAAATGATGTGATGGAAATAAATAAAAGAATGTAATATACAGTACAGAAAGTGTAGTTAAAAATTATTATTTGAATAATATAACCCAAACAGTGATTGTCAACCCAGAAAAGCAAGCTTGCATCTATTATTTTACATCTTATATGTTAATTTTTACATATGATATTGCAAAAGTTATGAGTAAATAAAAGTATAGGTGTAAAAGTATCATCTCCCCTTCAAAGATAACCCTATTTGCTATGTGCATTTAACAAGCAAAGTGCATATGCAAAGTTCACATTCACAACAAACCCTGAGAATGAGTATACTATGCCTTAAAAATTAAATAGTATGAAAATATGGTAGGTAAATGTTAATAATCATGAATCTTTTATATATCCCATTTTTCACGGTGTATCAAAGTAATCCAAACAGTGACTCACTTCTTCCTACCAGGAAAAGAGGAAGTTTAAGAGTGAATTAGTAAAAGGCATTGATTAAGAACCAGTAAATCCAATAGTGCATTAAGGCATAGCTAGGTTGAAGCTTGGAAAACCATAATTTCTCTCAACCAGAAACAAGCACAAACTCCTTCACATCCTGCAAGTCTAATCAATGATCCCATCATGTGTTTAATAGCCACGAAGTGAGTGGGTAGTAAAATAATAATATTAAGAAGCCAAATAAGGAAAGAGAACTGTTATTTAATTTATACATCATTTTTTATAAGTGATAAATAAGAAAAGAAATAACGGAGATGGATAAAAAGAATATTACATAGTTTTACATAAATATAATATCTTATAATAAAACTTCCAACCAACCAAAATATAAGAATAAAAACAAATTGCAGAAATCATGAACTAGAATGTATAACAGTTAAAACTATTCAGAAATTAATCCATTAAAAATACGCCCATCATCATCCTCTTTATTCCAAACAAAAAGCAAAAGGGAAAGAAAAACACAGAAATCAGAGTTCTTAATCCATATACATATACACTGAACTAAGTAAAACATGCCTCCCTTGCTCACCTCCACGGTTCTTCATCACAACTACAGTTTTCTAAATACTTTGTAATTATTCTTTTCCCCAATTCCTACTCTTCCAAACTAGAAAGACAGCACCATCGGAATTCCATTAGATCTCGAACCAGCCACACATGATCTACATGAAGTCTCTATAGATATCAACCAAGGTTTTAAATTACCATATGCTATATCAATTGTGAGTGCAACATGAAAGTTGTGAAACCCTTTGTAACTAGGATCCCAATTGCAATTTAAAACCTTGATACCAATTCAATAAGTTTGCCTTCCATGGCCAGCCCAAGGAAAGGCTTCATGGCCCACTTGGCCTCCATTGGAGAGAAGGTTTGGTGGGAGATTATACAAAGGCAAAGAAGAAGGATCAGGAATCCCACCTTGCAAGTGGCCCCCACCACTACCACCACCGCCACTATTACCACCAATTCCAGGAGGGGACCCTCCCAGGGCACTCCCTCCTTGCACGCTTCCACCACCGTCGTCTTCCTCCTCCTCAAGTGGCAACCTCTCATAGGTTGCATTAGCAAAAGTGGCAGCTATGACCATAACTGGTCCAGCTGCCACAAGTGATCCCACAACACTTCCACCTATTATCTGGCTCTGTCCCCCAGCGAGGTATACAGTAAGTCCTGGTGGGCAGTTATGCCCAAACCGGGCCCCCCTGCCACAAGTGATCCCACAACACTTCCACCTATTATCTGGCTCTGTCCCCCAGCGAGGTATACAGTAAGTCCTGTAGCTCCTGGTGGGGCAGGGCCAGGAAGAAACGCCCCAGTGAGGGACAAAATCTCGAACCTTCCATGAAGTGCGACGACGGCTCCTGGCGCTGCAGGCTGCCGGATGGTAACGTTGGCCACGGAACCGCTTCCACTGAGGACACACACACCACGCTGGCGCCTCCGTGCGAACTGGGCCACGCTTTCGGCCACGTCGGCACCACCGGCGACCTCCATGACATGGCTTTTGAGGGAGTTTGGGCTGTCCCTGGTGACGAAGATGGGGGGTTTGGGCTTGTTTTTGGACCCGGGGGGCCTCCCTCTGGGCCTGCGTGTTCCAACCTCAACTGCACCCTCTTTGGGTTCATCACCGTTGTCTCTTTCATCATCTTCTTCTTCTTGTCTTTCTCTAGAAACGCTTCTTTCGTTGATGGAAAGGTCCATGTGGCGTTTGTTTAAGGTGGGAGAAGGTGAATTGGTTGCAGGGTCTAACCCTGCACCCAACCCCACCTGATGACCGGTCCACCAAGGATTAGCCAGAATTGCTGTTTAGAGTGTCTTCTTTGAAGAAGAAAAAAAGGAAAATCAAAAGGAGAAGAAGAAGAAGAAGGAAGTGTTCTGAACAAGAAGATCTGGTTTGGAGGCTTTTCTTCTTTGGGACACTATTTTCTTACCTTAGAATTTTTGCACTAAAGCAAGAAGATGCATCATGACTAACAAAGGCAATTTAAAGCTAGCTCTCAATTTGCCTTTGCTAGAACGCAATTTGCCAACTTTCTAGCTGTAGGGTAGTGTTAGCAATAGGAAATTGGTTTGGGTTTAGTTTGTGTTCTCCGATTTCAAGGACAAGAAAAGTCAAACCTTTCACAACTAGCTCTTAAGAGGGGTAGCTCTTGTCTCCATGACCTAACATATATGAACACATGAATGATCTTTCACTCTATGGAAGGGAAGGGTAGAGAGAGAGAGAGAAGGGAAAGGAAAGAGAAGTGGTGTGATATGGTGCTGAGTTAGAGGAGAGGAATTAGATTCAATGACTCAAGGGAATCAAGTAAAGGGTGTAATGAAAGAGAGATTAATTAATTAATTAATTGAGTATTTAATTAAAGAGATGGGTTTCATCAGAAGTGTAGATCAGACGATCAGGAAGTGTCCTCCTTTATTAATTTGTCTCCATTTTTTTATTCTTTATTTTTGACTATTTGTATCAGGAAGTGATATCAGTGGACGAAACATGGAACGGATGAAAAAGCCTTCACAGAATCAAACACAATGATAAATATGAGAAATCTTAAAAAAAGAGGGTGAGCAAAAGCAAAACACTTGAATATAGCCATAGGTAATAACTACATCATAATTCATAAGTAGAAATACATATACATAGAATAACAACACAACCGAAACTGTTTGAAAAGCACTGCAAAAAAAAATTTGTTAATTGTTTTCTTGGGGTGACGGGTGAGCCATGTTGTGATTTGGAGAGCTACAATAATTTTTTCTTACCATTTATTCACTCTTATACCGTTTATTAATTTTATTTTCTTACTTTCTTGTGGCTGGCACTACATCATACATGTAATGGCAACAATGCCAACAACTAGCTCTGCTTTTGGAGGGTCTCGGAAATTAGGGTTTTTGTGGGGTCTCGTGAAAGTGGCCAGGTGGGGCGCGCGTCGTTTTCTTGGGCCCCAATGTATTTACACATCAACGTTCCATTTGAGAAATTCTTATCATCTCAAACAAAAATTCATCCAGTGTTCATTTGACTGGTACTCAATAAAATTTTATGTTCAAATTTTGTGGACAAAGGAAAATCCATTCTGCTAAAGGTAATCGAACTTGAGTTAAATTTTTTAATAAAAATTAATCATTAACCAGATAATAATAATGCTTCTTACTAATAATATAATTATAATAATATTAAAATATAATTAATATGTAAAGACATTAATTTGTTTAGTTAAAATTTAAAGTAAAGAGGTAATTATCTCGTAATTGTGGGGACATAACTTATTTGTTGATCAAGATATCATAAAAATAAATAAAATAGTTGGGGTAGATTAATACGAGTTTGTAGTCTTTTATTCTATCCGATTTATCTTTGATATATACCAAATTAATTAAATAATATAACACATCAGTATATATAAATTGTATACAAAATACAAATAACAAATTATCAGTATGAAATCATATCCATTTTTTTTTTAAAATTAATTTAATGTATTTGAACACACTTTGGCTATACACTATCAGACACATCAACAAAAAGAACTTTTCACATTTAATAAATATTATCTAATTGTATATAAAATTTTAATTTATTTTTGTAATCCACTATTAAAACTTGTATATAATTTATATTACTAAAGATTTTTAATAACTTTTTTTACATAATTAGACAACATTAAATATTATTAAAGTGACATTTTTGTAGCATTTTAATAATGTTATATTTTAATTAATTTTATAAAATAATTATTATTTTTAAAATAGATGTTGGTATTAATTTTACTTTATGATTCCTAGTTTCTTACAAGTTTTTTAATATTGAAGATATTCTTAGTTAATTATCACTAAATCTATATCAAATATCAAAATTCATTTATCTTAAATATAATTCTATAATTATATATATTCTTTATGTGTTATTCATTTATTCAATGTGATAATTTAATTTTGGAAAACAATTAAAGATTAAGGGGTGTATTTTTTATTTGACATTTTTATACTCATTGTGAAACTTTTATTTTAAAAATAATTAAAAATAATAATATTGAGATAATAAAAAAATGTTACTCTATTTATAATAATATTTTTAAAAAATATTATAAAATAATTTATTTATTCAATTTATAGTAATATTTTAATAAATATAAATAAGTAAATATTATTAAAGAAGTAAAATGTAGTGGTGAGATTCATGTACACTAACTCTGCCAACACTGATGACAAGAAATTCAACCAAGTACTGATCCCAAATCTGGACTCAACATCCTTTTCGATCGTATAATCGTCACCTTCAGATGAGTTCATGGTGTAGTAGTGGCCTCTGTACTCTCCTTAGTTCAATTTCAATGTATTCTTATATAAAAAAATTATGACTATATATGATGTTTTACTTACTCCTAGAAAAGTTGCAGATTATCATTGAAATAATCGCAATTTGAATCTCGCGGATTTGGAAGAATCAGCATTTTCAATTCATTTTTGGGGGATTTATAAAGACTAGGGAAGGTGTTTCTGCTTCTCTCTAGTAAGTATTTTGGAAGCACAAGGTGTGAAAGACGGAAGAAATTTTGCAATTCAAAATGGAGTAAGTTTGTAAAGATTGGATATAAGTGAGTGGAGTGTGTGAGTTCAAAGGAAAATTCAGTGACATGGAGAGCACTTGAGTCTAGATTTGAAGGAGATTCAACGATGGCAATTTGAGCCAGTGCTGGTGGTTGGCTAAGGTGATGCTGGAGGAACAATATATGGGGGAGCTTCAAGATGGGATAAGGTGGAAGGTCAAGTTTATACGAAGAAGTTGAAAACTAATAATAAGTTAGTTGATTAAATTCATTGTGTTTGATTAAACTAGTTAATAAGTTTAAAATGACATATAATAAGTATTATGAATAATTAAGATAGTGAGAATTAAAATAAAAACAAATTTAAAAGTTGGGAGATTCTCATGTTCAAAATATTACATGATGTGACTTTTTCTTTAAAAATAAAATATCCTATAGTTACTAAAATTAATTTTTTTTACTAAATAAACTTATTTTACTAAATATAGATAACAATAATGATATTAATAGTAATTATATAAATGATGAATGATGGCGATAATAATGATTAAATAAGAACAAATTAATCTTTCAATTCTGACAATATCAATATACTTCTTATTTTAAATTTGATTTACATTCAAATGTGGTTATAATTTTTAGAAAATGTTGGATGGGAAAATTTTATTCCTATACTAATGAATTGGCTTTCTTTGTTCATATGAAATATTTTGGTTAACCGAGGTTAATGTTAGTTATGTCAATGAATTGGAGTAACCATTATATTCATATTATAATATTTCTATGCTTGTAAAAAATGTATAACAGAGAGAACAATTGTGTAATGCCAAGGTAAGAGAGTGGGAGAAAGTGTGTTACTATTATCTTCTTTCCAATTCATTAATCCTCTTCATGGAATAAATTGTGTACTAATAATTGAATTTATTTTATTAGTGTAGTAGCTTACCAAATAATAATAGTTTTTTTTTTTCAATCATATTATTGGTGAAAAGTTACTCTAACTTTATTGATGATTGTGAATAAATTTAATTGACTATTTTTTACATAATGTTTGATTGGAGAATAATGGATGAGAAGGGATAAAATTTTATAAATTTCTCATTTGATTTAATTTCTAAGAGAGGGGCAGGGAAAGAAGAAAAACCTTCTCCTTAACTAATTTTAACTCACCTTCAATATTGGAGGGAGAGAGGAGTCTTAAAATATTTTTAGTATAATATTTAAAATATTGTTATATATGTTTTTAAATTCAAAGTTATAAGATATATAGGTAATTAATTTTTAAAATTAATCTCTATCTTCCTTGTGAACTAAATAAGAAAAGAGTTCTCTCATTCCTTCTATTATAATCCCTCCACTCACATCCTTTCAACTAAATATAATGTTTAACTCTTTTTATTTCCTCTTTTCTGCCATTAAAATTCATCTATTCCTCTCCCCTCCTCCTTTGAATAAAATAGATCTTTATTAAAGTATTTTTTTAATTATTTTTTTTCATTCACAAAATTTGAGTACAAGATCCTAGCTAGTTAAAAGAATCAAATCCAATACCATACTAAAACTGACAATTTAGTACAATATCTTGTTTTATCTTACCTTGTAATAAATATTAACATATAATAAAGTTACAAAAGATATTCCCTCTGTTCCATTTTTTTGTTTGATGTTTTAGCAAAAAAAAAAGTTTCATTTTGATTGTGATTTTTCAATACCAATAAAGTATTAAATGTATTTTATCATATCCTCAATTATTTATTGTAGAGTAAGAAAATATAAAAGGAATGTAGATGAGAGAAAAAAGTATTTAATATGAAGTATAAAGGGTATATTAGAAAAATATATAATAACTATATGAAATTTAAAATATTAATTGTATATTTTAATATATGTCCACAAATTCCATAGAAATGTCGAACAAAATAGATCAATCGTAATATGAGAGATATAGAAAAGTAAAAATAAAAATAAAGGGTATAATAGAAAACTGCATGATAACTTTTATGAAATCTAAAATATTAATTATATTTTTTTAAATATCTGCAAAAACAATTTTAAACATCAAACAAAATAAAACAAAGTAGTATGAAAAATATAGAGGGTAATGAGAGGGATATTTCAAAAGTAAGAAATTAGGAATGTCCTTAATAATTAGATAATGTCCATAAAAGTGATCACTTATAAATTTATAATTAATATAAATTGTATCAGGAAGAATTGCTTGAGACATGAGAATGAGGAAAAAGAAATAATTATCGTTATGTTCTGAAGGAATATGTGCAACGTTGAGCACAAAGTTATACACCAGAAGATATGTAAATTTAATTATCTTCAACGATTAAATATAGATCAGGATTTGAAACTTTGTATACAAAAGTTGAGTAGAGGGAGATGATTTACACCTTTTCTAATTAAAATTTAATTATACTATAATGTTATTCATAATTCATTTGATCTCTTTTCATTAATAAGTGGACAAAACGGATCAAATTAAACCACCCTATATTTATGTCAGCTATATTTAAAATATTTTTTTTCCTTCTAATTATAGGTAATTATTTACTCCTACTTACTATATGAATAAATCTATTTTATTTAATAATTCATATTTTACATCAAATTTTAACGATTTAATCATTAAATTAAAAATTCTTTATGTAAGTATTTTTAGATATTTTATTTCATTAATTCAAATTAATGAATAACCATAAAAGTATTTAATACATTAATTTAAATTAATAGTATAAAGTATTAAATAATTTTTAAATCTCTTAAAAATTTGCAACAAACTTGATATATATATTAAAAAAATTTAATTCAATAGTTGGATCGTTAAAATTTAATGTAAAACATGAATAATTGAGTATAGTAAGTATGTATAAACTTACTCAGTAAATGGATCTCTTTATATATATATATGTATATATTTCTACCTAAGAAAATTTTCCATTTGAGAGGTGAAAGACAAAATTGCAAGGAGAGAAGGCATGTATGTTGAAGATATAAACCTCCAAGCAATTCAGCTAGCACTATAAGGAGAAAATTTGTTTTAGAACAAGCATTACAAAACTAATTTATATTTTTTAACATAGTAGTAGTTGGGAACTTTCATTTTTATGAGGAGTCAAGTTTCCATCTAACCTATTGTTTAATGAAACCCTAAGTAATTGAATACTTCAGAGTCGTTATTTAATTTTATTTTGGTATCAAGTTACATTATATGATAGACTTTTGTTTTCAAACACAGATATGCTTGGGTAAATCAATAGGTCTAGTGCCAGACTAATCTTAACAGGTTGCCGTCAACGTGAAATTCAATTGGAGACATTTTATACCTTCAGTTTGGTCTATTTGGATTCATAGTGATATAATATTTTTAAAACAAGATAGATAAACTTTTATTCAGATTTTGGAGGCAATTCTTAAGGTCAAATCTTGATTTTGTGTTAGGTTTTAAGGAACGATTAATTTACATCTCCTTGGGAGTGAATAAGGTTGGTGAAAGAACAAAATTTAGATAATTTTTTTATATGTGATTAATTTTGTTCTCTAATTAAAATTAGAGTTTTACTCGAATAATATGCATAAATATATATTCATGAAATATACAATAAATACCGGTGGATATATATATATCACTAAACTAAAATTTCAAATCTCATTCAGAAATTTTATATAAGCGCTAAATATGGATTGATAAATATAAGCAATAGGTGAAAAGGTTGTAAATGAAGTCTGCATTGATTGGGTTAAAATATTATTTATATTTTTATTATAATAAATTTTCTTTCTCTAATAAAAAATAGTACCTTGTGTTTTGTGTGGGTTGTTTTTCATTTCCAAGAACATTTCAACACGCGTAAGTGAGTATAACCAAGGGTCCAATACTATGTCATTAGAGCAAGAAAAAAGTTCTGTACACACTCCTATTATTTTAACATTTTAGAGATAGATATTATAAAATGATAAGAAATTTTGTTTGTAAAACAAGTTTTCTTATTTTTTTGTTTTCCATTTATATATTGCACATTTTTCTATAAAATAAAAAAAACTTCTTAGAATAGTGGATTTAAGCCTAACTCAACCCTACAAAATCAGCTTGTAAGATAAAGGTTGCTTTCTACTTTTGGTAATAATTGCAAGCCCATAATATAGTTTTCTTATTTTTTTGTTTTCCATTTATATATTGCACATTTTTCTATAAAATAAAAAAAACTTCTTAGAATAGTGGATTTAAGCCTAACTCAACCCTACAAAATCAGCTTGTAAGATAATGTAGTGTCCTCGGCATTTTTAATTATTGAAAAGCTTTTCCTCTATTTGACTAGCTAGTTGAGAAATCTTTATGTATTATTTTGTAATTAATTATTTTACTTCAAATATTTTTAATATATATTACTTTTTTTTAAGTATTAGAAAAAATTTAAATCTCACGTTAAATAAAAATAAAATAATTAAAAAGTATATAAGTAAATAATAACTCTCACTTTACATACTGATTTTGTAAGATTGAGTTAAATTCAAACTTACTATTTTAAGAGAGTATCAAAATCATTTAAGATTTACTCTAAAAAGGGTTATTTATCATTTATATATGCACTAAGTCCAATAATACTAGGGTGAGGAAGTATATTGAAAAAAACATAAATTTCATATCAACTAGATATAAATGTACGTGAAAGTAAACTCCAATTCGGTGGATCAATGGTAAAGATATCGAACGTTATCAAGTAAAACTAGTTTTCCCTAGAAATTTTGTAATATAGAAAACTTATGTCAAAATCCAAAATCACAAATCATAGAACACAAATCTTGACTTGCAAGTTAGTTAGGGGATTTTTCACAAACACTTTATGTGTAATAAACTAAAATTTAAAATCTACAAAATCATGAATTTTAATTCAATCGGATAAAACATTGATTCAGGTTTTGATTATTGCAGTATAAAAAAAATGTAATTCAAATTCTAACATTTAATATTTAATTCAAATTAAAGAACGAAGAACACAATCGTGCTCTATGAAAACCTTATGAAGACAAACCTATTTCGTATTGTTTCAATTCAAATTGAATCCAATTCGGTGTTCTAAAATTAATTTGAATTAATTTTTTTCTTCAATTAATCAAAACGAAATTCATAATCATGAATTTAATTCGAAATTAATTGAAGAACATAAAAAATGAGAGGAATTCAAATTTGAGAGAATTTTACCACATAATCGTAAACTTGAATTGATTAAGAGAAATTAGTCACGCATCTCCATCATTGTCAACGCACAAAGATGTTCAGAGAAAAGATGAAGAGTCACGACCAAACTAAAGACGAATTCGTGAGAGAGAAGAGAAGAGAGTTGAGAGAAAATGATAGAAGCTTCTTGAGCAAGAAATCTCAAATTTGAAAAATGAATTAAAAGTCTGAGTTCAATGTAATTACACCTTCATATAGACAACTAAATGGGTCTAAGTTTGACTAAACAAGACCCGATTTACTAATTAAGTCCTAATACACTAATTACAAGTAATTAAAGTTTAAACTAAAAATAACAAAATAAAACTTCACTGGGCCGCAACTTTGAACTGCCTTTTCAGATTTCTTCTATTCTGAATTGGCTCTAGACTTTAACATAGAAGTTATAGCACTCTCTCTAAGCTTCCCAACGGTACCAAGAATGTCCCAATCCAAGTTTAACAGCTCCATATATGATCTGCACAAAACAAAGCGTTCAAGTGAGTAAAAATCCGACAATTGAGTAAAATTTACCACAATCATCAAATAATGTCACTATCATAAATTAAAGTCAAAACACCAATATAAGACATACACAAAAGTTAAAAATACTGGTCCGAGTCAAGCCACAACAAAAAATAAAAAATATCTACCAACTTTTGCTAAATTTCAACTCGACTCATTCAATTCATGAGCCAAACAAGTTTGAGTTTAAGTGAGCCGACTTAACTCGTTTAATCTACTACAATTAAAAAAATATATGCTTATATTTTATTTAGATTTTTGAATGATTAGAAAAAAAAAATCAAACTCTTTATTTTATTTATTAAAATCATATAACCATGTAATTATTTTCTTGTTTTTTCAATTTTTTATTTTAAAAATTTGGTCAACCAACCCACCTAACCCACCAATCCTGATGGGTCAAGTTAGGTTGGAATTTTCCTAATTCACCAAAAAAGTGAGTCAAGTTGAACTAATTAGTTTAAAGTACCAATTCGTAATAAGTCAATTCAGATGAGTTGATTTTATAAGATTGAATTAAATTCAAATTCATTAACTAATTTATTTTACATTTAACGTCTTTATATAAAAATTAAGAAATTTAATTAATATCTTAAAAATTTTAAAAATTATTATATAATTTTCTATAATATATATCTCTTATCTATCACATTAATGTTTCCTCTTTTATATATTTTTAATTCTAGAATAAATAATTAATGATTTAATAAGAAATAAATTAATGATTCATTAGTTTCCGGAGGAGGGAGTAGGATTTGAGAAAGCAATAATATAATTAGTTTAAGAATCATTTAGGGGATGATAAAAGAAGTAAATAGCAACTCTTTGTCATTTCCACAATAAATCAGTCAAAGTGACATGAACACCCTAAATCAGGTTTTTATGTCTGCTGATGATCAGTTATTTTCTCTCTCCTAATCTTACCTCATCTCTGGAGTAAATGATAATAAATGGTGTTGAGTTGAGCTTATCTCAAACTTGGCTTCTTTGCTTTAATATTTTAGTTCAGGCAATAGTTAATTCTGGGTGCTGGATCACATGGTAAAAGGTTAGGCCGGTTACCTCATGTCAACAAAATATAATATTTTTGGTAATAATTGCAAGCCCATAATATAGTTTTCTTATTTTTTTGTTTTCCATTTATATATTGCACATTTTTCTATAAAATAAAAAAAACTTCTTAGAATAGTGGATTTAAGCCTAACTCAACCCTACAAAATCAGCTTGTAAGATAAAGGTTGCTTTCTACTTATATATTATTCAATTGTCTAATCTCTAGTCGAATATATAAACAAAGTACAATATAAGACCAGTAGTATATGATGTTGAAAGGTATAAAAAGAAAAATTATATTATTAATTTTCTTATATAATAGTGTAAATCTTATTAAATATAGTGGAATGAAAAGGGAAAAAAAGAAGAAAAAAAAAGCTTTAGAAGTGCGAAACTAAGGAAAAGAACAGAACCATATTGGTTAATTACCAAAAGCACGAAAACAAGAAAACTGGAACGAAGAAATTAAAAAAAAAACAAAACAAAACAAAAATCATGGATCGAAAAATAAGCAATATATATATGAACACGAGATTAATCTTTAACAGAGAGGCTAGCTTTCTCATCTGACACTACAAAGAACGTTGTTAAGCAGAGATAATGGAGAGGTTTGTTTCTTTTCTATTTTCTATTAGCATCTGCAAGTGTTGACAAGGTCGATGGAAACTCCAAGCATTTCTTCTTCTATACAATTTCATTCTCAAATTCATCCATGTTCTTGCTTTCAATGCTTCTTAATTTCTTTTTTATTTCTTTAAAAATATTGTTTTTATTAGTTTGATGGTCTTCCTGCTGGAAATAGAACATAGGAAAACGAAAACCATTATATTGGTAGAAATATACACCACTTTACCAAAACTGCAACCTGGTAATTAATTTCTTCTTCTCACCTCGTATACATGATTTTTTTTAATTCAAGTTCTGAAGAAAAAAAATGTAATTATAGCAAGTTTTGCTTCTTATATGTTTTTTATTTATTTTCTTTGGTTCAGTTGTTGAAGGTTGAGAGAATTCATGGATGAATACGCAGAAAAAGTAAAATTAAAAAGGATAAATAATAAGACAAAACTGTTGAAAGATGTTTGAGTATGACTCAAAGTGGAGAAAAGAAAAAGGGTTGAGTCTTCAGTACATGAAAGCATTCTTTCAACTAAACCACCTTAATTTTATTACTAGATATATTTACCGAAATAATTTGCCAATCAAGTTATAAACATGTTAGGTTGAGAATGGAGAAATAGTTAAGAAACTAAACAAAATAGTTACTTTTTTTATTTTTTGAATTTATCTAAGGCACATGGAAGATAGAATAAATGGTACACTTCGTTAACTGATTTCGAAGGTGAGATGTTATAATTTCTGCAACCTTCAACCTTGACTTTTAAATCTGGGGGAAAAGGTATTTGATACATAGGAAATTTGTCTTGTTACTTGCTTCCTGGATAAGATTGTTGTGTTATTTTAGAATTTACATGTGATGTCTTTGTATGTGCAATGATGAAATACAGTAAAAAAAAAGTTAGTTATCTAATAAAAAAAAAAATAATTAATGTCTTTATTTTTTATAAGAGAAAAAAATACTTTCAATCTACAAAATTGTTCGGTACAAATCAATGGATAATCAATATATAACTTTTACCAAATCCAAACAAAGGAGATCGTATAGTCTTTAGTCTTTAAAGGATAATCCCATTTATAGGTTGCAACTAAATGGACCCAAATAGTAGAATGGTTTTTGTAATTGCAAGCATATTTCATTTTATTCTTACAACTGATACACTTTTTTACACTTGGTAACCTACAATATTCTAATTAAGTTGTGTTTTGGGCAAGTTTGGTGTAGGACAATTTGGAACTGATGTAATGAATGAAACAACCATGTACCAAAATCAAATAGACAGTTTGCAATTGAAAAATAAAGTGGATGGTTTGTAGAAAAAAATAGACAAGAGTTGGTGCAAATGGCTAATTTGATGACAATTCTCTTGAAGTGATTCAATATTTTTGCAGGAATCTCTGTCCAAAAGAGAAACTATCATGAAAATGCAACCACTTTGGAAAGACTGAAGAGCTTAACAATTCCTAAAATTGATAGCACTTGGTTTGAAATACTCCATCAAAATCAATATTTTCATCCATAAAATATTTTCTCCATTTTTATAAAGTGCATTTGTTCATCATTTTGTGGAGATGGATTTATCAGTTAAAAGAAATGATAGGGAAAAAAAATATGCCGCACTCATGAATTGTTGCTGATGCCAATATATATAAACATATTCTATGAACATATATAGTGTCTTTAAAGGTGACCGTGATATTCGCATTGGAAAGGTAGTCATGCTGCGAATTTGAATCTTCCTAGGTAAGGTTGGTGTTGGGATATGTCACTAACAAATTTCATAATACATTTGAAAACGCAAATTAAACTAACATAGGATATATACTAATAATAGTAAAAAAGTTGATCTGGACACCAATGAAACAATCGCTTCACACCAGAACGATATATTGCCATCATAGTAATTATGTTGCATACAAGATTGACTGGGTTATTTTGTCTTTTAGATATGCCACGTTAATTTCAATTCACAATAAGCTTATTGAAGAAAACACATGCAATTATTTGTGTTTTAAATATGTAGTTTGTTTTCTTATGATGATTATGGTTCCTCCTCCTGTGACATTAGTCTGCTAATGGGTCAGTCCCTGTCTGTGTTAATACTTAATAGTATAACTTCTTAACAATGATTGAAAAAGTATTAACACAAAATGGAACTGTAACTAATTAAGACGGATAGAGTGTGAATTACTCTTTCTCACAGAAAAGGCATAAAAGTTGTGCAATAGTGTGAGAATTTCATTGTATCATTGTTCAAAAAGAGGAACAGTAAATGCAACTAACATAGACAATGATTGTTTTGATTCTGTTCCTAATTAGGTAGGTGCGTGATTGAAATTAAATTCTAGAACAATGTAGTGTCCTCGGCATTTTTAATTATTGAAAAGCTTTTCCTCTATTTGACTAGCTAGTTGAGAAATCTTTATGTATTATTTTGTAATTAATTATTTTACTTCAAATATTTTTAATATATATTACTTTTTTTTAAGTATTAGAAAAAATTTAAATCTCACGTTAAATAAAAATAAAATAATTAAAAAGTATATAAGTAAATAATAACTCTCACTTTACATACTGATTTTGTAAGATTGAGTTAAATTCAAACTTACTATTTTAAGAGAGTATCAAAATCATTTAAGATTTACTCTAAAAAGGGTTATTTATCATTTATATATGCACTAAGTCCAATAATACTAGGGTGAGGAAGTATATTGAAAAAAACATAAATTTCATATCAACTAGATATAAATGTACGTGAAAGTAAACTCCAATTCGGTGGATCAATGGTAAAGATATCGAACGTTATCAAGTAAAACTAGTTTTCCCTAGAAATTTTGTAATATAGAAAACTTATGTCAAAATCCAAAATCACAAATCATAGAACACAAATCTTGACTTGCAAGTTAGTTAGGGGATTTTTCACAAACACTTTATGTGTAATAAACTAAAATTTAAAATCTACAAAATCATGAATTTTAATTCAATCGGATAAAACATTGATTCAGGTTTTGATTATTGCAGTATAAAAAAAATGTAATTCAAATTCTAACATTTAATATTTAATTCAAATTAAAGAACGAAGAACACAATCGTGCTCTATGAAAACCTTATGAAGACAAACCTATTTCGTATTGTTTCAATTCAAATTGAATCCAATTCGGTGTTCTAAAATTAATTTGAATTAATTTTTTTCTTCAATTAATCAAAACGAAATTCATAATCATGAATTTAATTCGAAATTAATTGAAGAACATAAAAAATGAGAGGAATTCAAATTTGAGAGAATTTTACCACATAATCGTAAACTTGAATTGATTAAGAGAAATTAGTCACGCATCTCCATCATTGTCAACGCACAAAGATGTTCAGAGAAAAGATGAAGAGTCACGACCAAACTAAAGACGAATTCGTGAGAGAGAAGAGAAGAGAGTTGAGAGAAAATGATAGAAGCTTCTTGAGCAAGAAATCTCAAATTTGAAAAATGAATTAAAAGTCTGAGTTCAATGTAATTACACCTTCATATAGACAACTAAATGGGTCTAAGTTTGACTAAACAAGACCCGATTTACTAATTAAGTCCTAATACACTAATTACAAGTAATTAAAGTTTAAACTAAAAATAACAAAATAAAACTTCACTGGGCCGCAACTTTGAACTGCCTTTTCAGATTTCTTCTATTCTGAATTGGCTCTAGACTTTAACATAGAAGTTATAGCACTCTCTCTAAGCTTCCCAACGGTACCAAGAATGTCCCAATCCAAGTTTAACAGCTCCATATATGATCTGCACAAAACAAAGCGTTCAAGTGAGTAAAAATCCGACAATTGAGTAAAATTTACCACAATCATCAAATAATGTCACTATCATAAATTAAAGTCAAAACACCAATATAAGACATACACAAAAGTTAAAAATACTGGTCCGAGTCAAGCCACAACAAAAAATAAAAAATATCTACCAACTTTTGCTAAATTTCAACTCGACTCATTCAATTCATGAGCCAAACAAGTTTGAGTTTAAGTGAGCCGACTTAACTCGTTTAATCTACTACAATTAAAAAAATATATGCTTATATTTTATTTAGATTTTTGAATGATTAGAAAAAAAAAATCAAACTCTTTATTTTATTTATTAAAATCATATAACCATGTAATTATTTTCTTGTTTTTTCAATTTTTTATTTTAAAAATTTGGTCAACCAACCCACCTAACCCACCAATCCTGATGGGTCAAGTTAGGTTGGAATTTTCCTAATTCACCAAAAAAGTGAGTCAAGTTGAACTAATTAGTTTAAAGTACCAATTCGTAATAAGTCAATTCAGATGAGTTGATTTTATAAGATTGAATTAAATTCAAATTCATTAACTAATTTATTTTACATTTAACGTCTTTATATAAAAATTAAGAAATTTAATTAATATCTTAAAAATTTTAAAAATTATTATATAATTTTCTATAATATATATCTCTTATCTATCACATTAATGTTTCCTCTTTTATATATTTTTAATTCTAGAATAAATAATTAATGATTTAATAAGAAATAAATTAATGATTCATTAGTTTCCGGAGGAGGGAGTAGGATTTGAGAAAGCAATAATATAATTAGTTTAAGAATCATTTAGGGGATGATAAAAGAAGTAAATAGCAACTCTTTGTCATTTCCACAATAAATCAGTCAAAGTGACATGAACACCCTAAATCAGGTTTTTATGTCTGCTGATGATCAGTTATTTTCTCTCTCCTAATCTTACCTCATCTCTGGAGTAAATGATAATAAATGGTGTTGAGTTGAGCTTATCTCAAACTTGGCTTCTTTGCTTTAATATTTTAGTTCAGGCAATAGTTAATTCTGGGTGCTGGATCACATGGTAAAAGGTTAGGCCGGTTACCTCATGTCAACAAAATATAATATTTTTGGTAATAATTGCAAGCCCATAATATAGTTTTCTTATTTTTTTGTTTTCCATTTATATATTGCACATTTTTCTATAAAATAAAAAAAACTTCTTAGAATAGTGGATTTAAGCCTAACTCAACCCTACAAAATCAGCTTGTAAGATAAAGGTTGCTTTCTACTTATATATTATTCAATTGTCTAATCTCTAGTCGATGTGAGACTTAGGTTTTTCCCAATACACTCCATCACGTCCAGCACTATTATAAGAATCTAGGATAGCTCTGATACCATCTTAGAATAGTGGATTTAAGCCTAACTCAACCCTACAAAACCGACTTGTAAAGTGAGGGTTGTTTTCCACTTATATATACTATTCAATTACCTAACCTCGATCGATGTGGGACTATAAATATCAAATGTTGAAAAACTTTAAATAATGAAAATTTCTAGGAAAACAAATGTAAAGCAAACATGAACTCTACGGTTTTCTTTAATGAGTGAATTAAGGACATTTTTTAACAAATAGTTGGAGTTTTTTTTTTTTTTTTTTGAATTATAGATATCACGAAAGTATATTTTGCCTCTTTTAATAGTCATTTTTTATTTGCATGATTAGGAAATTAAATCATTATCAACATATTTAATTAACTCAACTATCTATCAATTGCATTTAATTGTATTACACCTTATTGTAATATAAAGTTAAACATATAAGATATTTATGTGAATATTCAACTAAATATATCCAATTCAATTATGATCAATCTCGTGGCCAAGCCATACAAACCAGGTTGGCTTGTCTATCACCAATACATTCACGAGTCTTATAGCTTCAGCCATCATGGAAAAGAGAGGGGAAAGGAGATAGAAAGGAAAGAGGAGTAGAGTGTATTATTGCAAAATATCAAATGTTAATGTTTGCCATACATGCACGACTCATAGTTCTATCAACTAAGTTGTGTCGATAGGATAATAATGTCATCAATAAGATAGATGAATTATTAATTAGGGGAAAGCTTAGAACCCAAGATTATTAATATTGATGTATTCCCAACATCCCATGAATGAAGCACCAATAAACCAACTATGCATCTCCAGTTAATGAAGCTAACAATATGGGCTACGTGGTGTTCCATTAACACAAGTTCTTTATAACGGTCACGTGACCATGTCTATATGTTGGGTCAGTGTAAGGCACGAATTGTGGCACAACACAACTACTACTGAAGTAAGATGTATAAAAGGCTGTTACTTTCAGAAATTTATAAAAATAATTGTTTAAGAGATATATGTCATGCGTACATCGTAGATAAGAGGAGGGTTACTAATATAATTTTAACATATATCAACAATAAAATGTAAAGTATCATATAATTGATAGATAATCTTGTTTTCTAAACATGTAATAATGAGTTTAATCTTTAATTTGTGTGTATGAGACAATATTTATTATGAGATCGTCAATCCCTTAAGGTGATCTCATTATCTCAATAAGTTAGTTCTTTTTTTAATACACTTATTAGTTATTATTGGTTATAATTTTATTAAAGGTTACTTAATTATGTGAAATTCTTTGAATAAATAATGAGATTTTTAAAATTTGGTGACTCTTAATAAATTTAAGTCAATAATAAAAAAAATGTAATAGATTGTGTTAGAA